ATAAAAATGGGGTTCCCATACTCTTTGAAGAACACAGAAGAATACACTAGCTGTCAGTGAGTCTGTTCCCATGGGAGAAGGGAAGTCAACCACTTGGATTATAAGTGTGAATGGATATTGTCCAACATTGCTTGATGGAGTAGGTGGCATTTTATAATCAGTATCCACATGTGGTCTTTCTCCAGCTTTCCTTGTATCATGGTGTCACAAAGGCCATGTCACACACACACCCCTGCTGTGGTGGATGGGACAGTGTCTAGTCTATCCCGATGTTGCTCTCAAAGCCAGACTTGGTGGGGCATATTATGAAATGTCAAGCACTGGGCCAGCACTGCAAATAAAACCTACTTTTTGATTCCTCTCCAAAACCTATGTACCAACCTAATCATAACCCAATGGAAAAGGTGTGTTATAAATAGCCATGATACCCCAATTATTTATTAGGGAAAATAGAGGCAAAGCCTTTACAACGTGCCAGGGATCACTCAGGATATACAACTTTGGCCCAAACTTCATTTCAGCATCTCTATTACTCGGCAGCTTGGGCCAGTGTTGTAGGTCTGGACAGCGGGAGAAAATACTAATTGTTTGGGGTCATACTCAAACCTCTTGTTTTGTACTGAGTAGCAATTTTCTCATCAGTAAAATTAGGGGATTGGGTTAACTGCTTATCAAAATTCCTTTTCCCCCTTCACAATCACTGATTCTAGGGTCTGGAAGGACTTTATTGCCAACAGCACGCATGACTGTGAGATGAATTTCATGTGGTGATGTCAGAGGGAGAGATAAAGAATGAATGGCAGCCCTGGGCTGCATGTTCTTCTTTTGCACAGTGGGTTCTGGCTCTGTGTCTTTTCTGGCCTCTCTAGCCTCCTCTTCTGGCAAGGACTTCAGCTCTTTGAGCCAAGACAGGGTAGAGGAAAGAAAACAAGCAAAGGGACACCTGTGGTGACCAAGGAAGCCACTGCAAGGATTAGCACTGTGCTTGGGACCAGGACCTTTGGACCCAGACCGGCTGGATCCAAGCCCTTCTGTGTGTCTTTCTATTTACAGATACTGTGCAAAGTTCTTATCTCTTTGAATCTCAGTTATTATGTATAAAATGTGGATTCAAAATAGTATTTAGATCATAGGGTGGCTGTGTGGTTTGATGTACACAGAGCCAGACCTGGCAGACAATATTCACTCTTTGTAAGTTACTGTCATTACTTTAAATCCTTTGATCCAAAGAATAATTTGCTAAATGAGAAAGACATAATCACAAGGCAAGAGAAAAGGAAGGTGTCTGGGATGACGTTTTCGTTCTTCAAAGACAAATACACATTCTGAAGTGTGTTATTCAGAGTCAATTGTTTGAAAATACAACTTGAACAATTGGGTTCAAGCAAGCAGTTGTCAACACAGATATCTGTTTTTAGACTTTAAAAATCCTAGTTTCCATCACAAAGACACCCTAATTATCAGCAGGATGCTTGATGCCTATATACTGAATACTTACAACTGATGGTGAAATTGGTGTCCAGAACATGAAATCCTACTCTCTCCCAACACTCTGTAGAATACATGAGGTTTGCTATGGCTTAATGTTGATGTTCCTTGGTGCAATATCATTACTAAGACTGTGAAATTAATGGATGGACTTTATGACTATCACAGACAATGGCTGTTTTTGTCTACTTGCTGTTGCATTTACCATTCATGTAAGGAGGAAGTACCTAATTACACTCAGGAACTTATTAACCTCTATTCTCTCACTTCACTCAAGTGAATGCAATGGAGTTTGTCACTCACAGTACTTATTTCACTCTAACATGTAGAAGATACCACAAGGGTTGGCCAGCATTAGTCTCTATTCCTTAAGGAAAAAAACTGTCTAAGGCATGAATATATGACCAAATTGGGTCAATATGTAGGGTCCCTTGTGTTTTTCAAACTGCTGGCTCATGAATATTAATTCTACAGAGGAAAGAAGAAAATGTATTTTATTTTGGGTTTACTAGCATACACAGATTAACCAATACATGGAAAGTCAGCTATGAGAGTGAACTCATCATGGAATGAATAGAGATAAAAGATGAAATAGAAAAATCCAGAAAGGCTCAATCCTTGCTCTCAGGGGCTTCTGACTCTTTTAATCGATATGTCAGCTATTATATTTATTTTATAAGGTAAAGTAGTGTAAATTGACTTCATGATATTTTGTATAATATAGACTTTGTCCATTCATTCATCCACCCACTATACATCCATTCATCCATTCACCATTCATCCATCCCCCATCCATCTATCTACCCATTGGTCCATTAACTTATCCATTTTCCATCCATCTACTCATCCATCTACCCATACTCTATCTACCTACTTTCACTGTGTATGTACACAAAGCTGACCAGATTTTCAGGTTAGGTTTAGGTGCCTCAGAGGTATCCAGTCTACCAGATAAAGCAGCTGAGAAACAAGTATATCAGGTAATCATCAGTACTGTGAAGGACACTTAAGCAGGATTAAAGGGAAAGAGACTGATGAGGCAAGAGTGAAGAGTCAGAAAAAGTCACTTTTGGCGGGGGACATCAGGCAGAATCCCAAGAGAAGTAGGCAAGAGAGCCGTATGAAGTCATACACGAAGAGATTTTGGCTGAAGGAGACTGTTCTAAGACAAGATCATATGTGTGCTGGGTTAAATGAGCTCACTTTGTACTCATGAACACTGAGGGCATTAATTACCCACACTTTAGGAGATTCCTCCCTAACAGAGTGGAAAGAGGATGAAACCCCTACTCTGGCTATTTCTGTGTTGATGGCATTGTAAGGTATGTGAGCATTTTAGATCAACTCTTTGAGTTGGTTATTATTTATACACTCAGCAAATATTTATGGGGTACATTTATATTTCAGGCATAAATTTAGCTTCAATACTAATGTGTGTGCATGTGTTTGTAACATAATGTATATATGCATTCATATATGCTTTATTACAAAAGTTTTGAATCCTAACCAAGGTCATAACAATGGATATACTCAAACCAGGTGAGAAGAGATGGGAGGAGCCAACTGCTTCCATTTATATAAGATTGTACAGCATGGCATATCAAGTGTTCATCTCCCTGTGAGCCTATCTTTTTGTTTTGGTTAATCACAGGATCATACACACCAAGAAAGAAGTGCATTATCAGAGCCAACTGTTCAGTCAACTATATGAATTTAGCTGGGCTTATGTTCCACAAGCAAGTCCACATGAACCAAACAGTTAAGAAAGTCCTAAGTAAACAATTATGTTGTAAGCAAGCAAGAACTTGAGTTCCCACAAACAAGCTCACTAGCTGACTAAATGATTCCATTTCTTACTTTCAAGACTGCATCTGGATCTGGAAAGAAACAGGAAACAACTGTTTCCTCATGTTGTTGAACAAACAAACATGTGGGCTGTGTGTTCTAGGAGGAGGCAATAAGATGAGCTTCAGATTCCACTCTGACCATATGGAGATAATAATAAGGTGAGACTGGAATGTTTGTTGATTGGCAGCCTATTGAAGAAGCCAATAAGGTAGCCAATGAAGAGGAGCAAGTTTTCATTTAAAGCACCTGCTTCTTGTTGAGTATTCTGTTGTCACCTTGTTCCCTTCCTTCTTAGGGGAAGGAACTGAGTTCATCCTTCCTCAAAATCTCTAGGCTGTGTACTTATACTTGCTCCTATCATCTCCCTCACCAATCTGTCAGCCCTACCTGACTACTGTCCAAATACTGGATAAAGAGGATTGAGTGGCTTCTATAAGCAGCTTTGATCTTCTCTGAGGAGGGTGAACCAGCAAATATCTAAGTCTAACCCTAAAAAAAATCAGGGAATAGCTTTTCCTTTGCACCTTGGCAGAGTGGGGTGGGGGTTCTTAAAAAGGCACAAATACTTTGGGAGCCATATTTCAGAGAACCTCTTTTCCATACCCAGAGAAACACCACTAGAAAAGTTTCAAATGAACCTATTTGATCCTCAATTAAACCAGAAGCAGAAAATCCAATTTGGAATAATATACAGTAGTCCCAACTACGGTTTCAGTTACCTACAGTTAACTATAGTTCAAAAATGCTACATGGAAAGTTCCAGAAAACACTTCATAAGTTTAAATCAAGTACTGCTCTGAGTAGTGTGTTGTCATCTCTTATCATCTCACACTATTTTTTCAAAGTGAATCATCTTGCTTTATGACCTAGAACAGGGTCCAGATGTTGGGTACCTTCTACAGAGGGGTAAGAAGTTGAGAAAAGTAGCCATACACAACCCTGAGCTTCTTTTTGCCTCTGCAGCAGCCCGCAATGCACATGGCTTATTGGAAAGCCTCATGGCTATAGGGATCTGTGTTTGCTTTCTAAAGTGCCATCTGTGATGTGAGCCCAAGAAGCAAATGGAGAAAAGTACAATGGCAAACATTTTTTAAAAAATATGTGCATTGATGTTTTGCCTTCATGTATGTCTGTGGGAAGGTGTCAGATCTTGGAGTTAACAATAGTTGCTAGCTGACCTTTGGGTTTTGGGAACTGAACCTGGGTCCCCTGGAAGAGCAGTCAGTGCTTTTGACCACTGAGCCATCTCTTCAGCCCCAGTGGCAAACATTTTCACATTTAGATCTGACTTTGATTGGGTTTTGCTACCTAGTTCTTGTATCATTCTGGAGAACAGCTAAACTTTTCTGAGTCCCTGACTCCTTGTTCATAAAGGACAATAATTGGGCTTATCTCATGTGGTGATTGTAAGGATCAAGTGAGATAACCTGCTCAGAGCCTAGCTCTGAGGAGACAGACATTCACTACGTAGCTGTTGCTATTATTCATACTAAGTTGTCCTTCAATTCACATGAAAAGGTCAGAGGAATCAGTGTTCAACAACAGAGTGAGCACCAAAGACTAGCTTGTGACCAACATGGCTATCTAGCAGCTTCCCACCATGTAGAACTGAACCCTCCCTGAAAACAACGGTGAAAGGAGGGACTTCATAATCAGAAATGTACCTGGCTGCTGCTTCCAGTTGTTCTTTCCTATAAAAGGGGAAGAAAAAGAAAAAAAAAAAGTAAATAGCATGATGTGGTTGCATCTTGCCCCAAAGTTCGCCTCAATGATTCACTTGGAAGGTAGATCAGGGCAGTTGAAATAAAGAAACATTCTAGAACAAGCTGGTGGGTGTGGAAGGGAACCAAAGCATGAGGCAGGCTTTGCCATGTGCCCCAAGCCCCTGCTGCTACCATTTGGTCCTGTGTTCCTAAGTTTGTCTTAACTGCTCATTCATCAAGAAAATGGGTGAGGGCCTACTCAACCCCAGGATTCACAGCTCGATGCAGAAGGTTTGTTTTGTGGTAGAGACAGATCAGGAAATCAGGACTACCATTGAGGTTGCTGTACTCCAACGCCGTCCTACCATCATGGCCAACAGTGTTACCACCGTGTATGTTGACTGGATAGTAAATTGTTTCATGTCTCTTCTCTTATCAGATATTATTTTAAGCGCTATTTATGGATTTGTCAATTAAGCCTTATAACAACTCTAAGAAGTAAATACTATCATCATACCATTTTTCTGTTGAGAAAGCCAAGGGACAAAGAAGTTAAATAAATTGCCTAAGGTCTCAGACACAAAGCAGTAGAGCTCAGACCCCAACCCAGGCACTGTGTCTCCAGGGCATGCCCTGTAGTGATGGGGCTAGCTGAACATGCTGGTCACATATTCACTATTCTGAGCCTTTGCACAGCTCTGCCTAGAATTCTCTACCCATTTGCTCTACTTGGAGCATTCTTGTTCATCCATCAATTGCCCCAGGCAGGACCTCAATCCAGACAGGGTGTTCTAGCTCTGGGGTCACCCACAGTGGATTTCTCTGGCTATAATTTCAGACCTCAGTAGCTTTTTTTCCCCTTTCGTTTTAATCAGCTTTCATACATCTCAGCAGTGCAGACTTCATAACCTTCCATGAATCAGGTACCAAGACAGATACTGTCATACACTTACTCAGTTTCACCCTTATGACACCAACCCCTTCAGAAATGAGCAATGTTTAGATAAATCACCCTTGACCTATGGGATGCAGGCGAGGATGCATCAGAGTATCACATACTTCTCTCTAGAATAGCTGTTTCTTCCCAGACACACAATGGAAGATCAAAAGCTTTGGGCAGAAGAACTGGGTTCCAATTTTTTTTCCAGCATGTACTTGCTGGATCAAATCAGGTATCATTCTCAGAGTTCTGACGTTTCACTTACAAGAATGGTCACAAGGGATGGAGAAAGAGAGGATCAGGAGAAACCACAAATCAAGACAAGGTTCCTTTCTGACATAACAAAATTGCTCTGGAGTTAGTGTGTTGAACGATGCCGAACTTCAAGAATATATTCAGACTCACTACACTGTTCTACCCTCTTATAGGTAGTAATATGTATCTCAATAAAATTATTGTTTAAAAAGTATATAAAAGGAAAAAAATCCTTTGGGAAGCAGGTGGGGACACATTAGCGTACCTGCTTTTCCTCTGTTACTAGCATATGGTGTGGGTTGGCATTCAGGGACATTCTTTTCCCAAAGGACTGTCTCGTTTCAGAGTGGTTGCTAAGTGAGTTTCTCTAGTGACTTTGTACTTTTGTCCTTGAAAAACAAAACAAGAAAGAAATGTTCCCTCTTAGTCTAAAAGCCATTCCCACATCACAGCAGCTGTCTGCAGCACAATGTAGCCCTCAAGTGTCTGACAGCCAGGACAATGTTGTATTTATAATAAATCAACCAAAAAGAATAGGCCCATTGCCAAGGCCTTGGGATGCACAGCTAATAAAAATCATCTTGGCTCTACATTTGGTCTGGGTCCACATGTTCTTGGTTCTGAGTCCAAGGTCATTCTGTTTTCTTAAAGGGAGAGATACTGGCCCATTATAGAAAGGCTCTGATTTATGCTATCCCAGCCCCTAATCAATAATAGCAGTAAGAGAGTTCTAGAAACACAATTAGCAACATCCGAGCAAGTAAGTTTAATTAAGTTAGAAGATACAGTGAGTAACCCAAACTTACCCCTTTATTTAATTATTCATCTATTGCCTCTTACCTCTTCCACAAGTCATCAGTCCCCCTTATCTTTCTCAGAGCCTCTCTCTCTTCTCCTGTCTTAGTGCTTCTACCTTGGCTCCTACCTTAAGACTTCCCTGAGAAGTGAAAGCCCAGTGAAGGTGAGGTAGGAAAGGTTTTCTGGGACTGGGCTTGCAATTCTCCAAGGTTATGGTCAGGCTCCATATTTCCATGTTAGTTATGATCAATGATTGTAAAGTTTTTAAATTAAGCAATGAGTCCATAAATCCAGAACCCTTCTACTTCCTTAAATCTTTTAAAATTGATTGATTGATGTGTGTGTGTGTGTGTGTGTGTGTGTGTGTGTGTGTGTGTGTGTGCATGCACATGTACTTGGAGGAGTCATTTCTTTCCTTCTACATGGGTATTAAACTTAGGTCATTAGGCTTAGTGGTAAGTGCCTTTAGCCACTGAGCCATCTTGTTGGCCAAATTTCCTTAAATCCTTAGCACAATGTAGCGGTGAGTATAAAAGGATAAATGGAGGCAGTATTCATAAGTGAGCCACAGATTATCTACTGAGTGTGTGGGAGAGCTGGGTAGGTGTTGAGAGAGCTGCTTACCTACTGTTGTGTTGTATTATGGTTCACTGAAATGGCAGGTACTTGTTTGTGGTCCTTGTACTTGTGAACATGCTTCAGTAAACATAGTTCAGAGCAGACTCTACCCCAGCAATGACCTCACTTTACCTCTACCTTTTCTCCTAAGTCAAGGGTTCTAGAATTTTAACATGTGTCTATATCCAGAACTCTAGGCTCAAGACCACAGCATCAAAACACTAAAAAAGGAAGAGTCTACTTTAGAATCCAGGCAGTCAGAAAAGCCTGGGCTTCAGAAAACTATCAAAATGTCCAAGAATTCTGAGTCCTAGGTCACTGTTTGGTAAGTAGAACTTAGTATCACCAACCATTCATCTTGCTACTCAGTGTTCACCATGAACCATTATGATAAAATGAAACCATGACTCCTGGTCAAGATGGATTTACCACCACATTTCTATCATAATTTCTGAAGGTGTATGTTGGCTTTATACGTTCAAAACAATGTCTCTAAATCTAACATACCCCTGCATTAGTGAACACCGACTTATCTCAAAGGACCCATTAGCATTAAATGAAACACAGATATTTGGAAAGCAGTGGATATCACTGCATGTTAAGTTCCTTTCTCTTCTCCTTATGCCAGCCATGGGAAGAGGCTACCAACTCCCATGGGCATTTAGTTCAATTTTCCAACTCTGAGAACATGAAACACAATTCATGAATTTCCAATGAACTCCTTGATCATTCTTGCCCTTCTTCCCTTTGTTGAAATGGTCAGTGAATGCAGGCTATGACCAGGTGAATAAATAATCAGTCTGCTGGGATAGCTGACTATCCTGGCCTCACTTTCCTCTGTCCTCGGATTCTGTTCATACAGCCATTTTCTAGTGTCATGCTGTTTACCTTTAGTTGCTCACTGGAGCATATTTTAAGATTCATGTTACATAGAGGGCTTTGAGAACTAGTGATGTCTGGCTTTACTTCTGAGGATTTAGACTTAATTAGGCCAAGTATGTCTGAATACCAAGGTTCTGCTGTTTTGTTTGCTTAATTTCCCAGTGATGTTAATATGTGGTCCATATTGGGGACCATTCCCTATTGCCTTGGTAGACACTCTCTAGCAAGCCATGAGATCATGACACAAAGAATAGACTGTGGTAAAGAAGGTCAAACATACTCTGAGCACTCAGACAAGTGACTACTTGCCTGAAGAATGGGAAAGAGACAACTGATTCATAAAATCTCCAGGTTGCCACCAGGTCAATCCTATTGGGGTTGGTAGCATAATATCTCCAGGCAGCCTGAGGAGGAAAAAAGAGGAAACAGAATGATGTGGGTATCACATGAAATGTTCACACAACATCCTATGACATTCAAACAACCTTTAAGCTCTTGACTCTTAAGAATTTGAATGTCCATCTAGTGAGGACTCAGAGAAGCAGAGGCTCTTGGCTTCTAATAGCTTCTTTGGAGAAAAAACTTGACCATTTTAAAGCTATATAAGTGCTGTTGTGAGCTGGGACATGGAGCGACAAAATGGGATAGAGAGAAGATAATAGAAAATCCCTGAAAGAAATGGTGACTATTCTTTCCAGTGAGTTCCTTGGGACTGTTTGGTCAATTATATACAAAAATAAAGTCTTTGGTGCTACTTTTGAGTATAAGAGAGACTGGGATCTGGCTCTCATAGACTAAGATACTCTGATGGTTTGCAGCTTGAGGGCATAAAGGAACAAGTAGAGTTTGAATTTTGAGACTGGCGTAGAAACCAGACTGTGTTGGATGCTACCATGCTATATCAGTACCACAGACCCACAGAAGTACCTACTGCCACTGGATACAAGCTCTGGGTGAATGGCAATGTCCTCAACACTCAGGAAGGCACAGTAGGGACACACTAATTTCCTATTTACTATGTCCCCTGCTTTCAACAGCCCATACAATCATGATACAGACTCCCTGTGATGCCTAAGCAGGAGCAGTTACTCCTGTTTTATCCCTCTTATTACTCTGTCTACAGTTGGGAGAAGTAACCATGATGGACCCTTTTGAGAGTCAGGACAAACTGGTGAAGTATCCA